CTTACATTGGAGCATGAGCGTCTCCAGTACGGCTTATGTTACTGTAATCAACTAGCTGCATTGTCCTTTGTGAGTACTGATTTAGCAGGCTGACAAAGTCAAATGTAGGTAGCACATCCGCAGATAGAGGAGATGTCACCAGATCTGGAGCATGCACATTCGAAGGACTATCTTGCTATAAGGCAAATAGAATAGATAACTTAAAAACTTCAGCTTAATAAGTAGTTTAATATCAACTGCACATGAAAACTAATACAGCTGCAAGGTTTGTCAGCATTTCAAAATACTATTAAGAAGAAATTTCAAGTTGGTATTGTTGTGCAACTTTGGACATGACAGAGGACAGCCACCACAAGCCAGAATTATTACATTTCGAATTTCAGAACAATCATAAGTTTTCAAAGTATTTCACCAGCGTGTGTAACAACCTAATACTGGATCTGCCACCTCTTTTAGCAAAAGGCAGGGAACAAGCAGTGTAATGTCTCATAAAAATGTAAGGACTAGAGCCAAGAAAAGGGGTGGCAGCAGGAAGCTGCTGATGCTGCAAGGGCTGCAACTGCTCCTGTGCAAATACAAAAGGGGAAAATACAAGTGTAAATAAATCAAGACAGTATAGAATCAGTTGTACCATTAAAAATATAATGGCAAGAAGAATGAATCAGATCAAGTGAAAGTAAGCCATTTTAAGAGAGAAGTGGCAACATGCACTGAATAATATCTCGTATGGGTTCTAAGGACTTTATATACAGAACAGTTGCCAAGATGGTAAAGGAACGCTGTCCACTCTGGATATGCTAAGGCAGCTTAAAGACAAATAAGTTACCTCATTTCTCTATAACAAAAAAACAAATAGGAACACTCTTGATATTGTAGAATAATAAACACAATAAGTGGTAAAAAAAAAAAAGTAGAAAAACAGTGAATATGACGAAACAAGAACAACATAAGTAACTGGAATCTCTTCTAAATTAAACAATAATAATTTCCTTGCTACTTCCAGAGATTCATTTTCAACCACTGCTAGCAAAATAAATACATAAATCATACAGCTCACTCACCTTTGGTACAATCATGTCCCACGTTTTTTTTGCTGCTGCTGCTTTTGCATCCTTCTTACTTTTACCAGTGCCTGTACCGTATTCTTTACCATTTATTCTAACCATAACTGTAAACCTGCAATAAAGGAAACTTCCCTGTAACATCAGTAAGCTTTGTCTGAAATATATTTTAAAACTTTTTCAGATAAACTGTAGTTTTATTATGTACAAAGCACTAAATTACCTGTGGAGGTATATGAGCATTCATGTGTTTTTATTATATCTGACTCCTAGTTATCATAATTCTTTATAGTAAAGATTTTAAAAAACATCTCCTCCCTAACCACAACTGCATGTTCTATACTAGTTTTAATAGTGTTTCTAAAAGCAAAATTCCTAATACATAAGGTCACACTGTTACAAGGCAAGGTTGTAAAGCCCTAATACCTGTACACATCTCAGCACCATAAAACTATGTGAACGCTAAAGATTAGCTAAACTTGACTTCGTGCATCCAGAAATGACACTACGCTTACCTTTCAGAGAGTACTGCAGGCTCTACTTAGTGAGCACAAAAAACATGTCTGCTTGTACAGCTGGAAGAGTAGCACAGTTAGGATGGTACTTTACAGGTGCTATAGCTGGAAAGATTATCGTGGTGGAAAAGAAACAATCAAGGAAGAAACGCCTACCCATAGCCAAGGACCTCTACTTGTGGTGGAAAACTCCAAAAAGGAGGGACCTCCAGTAAAAGATCCTTCCCCATAGGCAGTCAGCCCTTAAATGAGGTCTAGGAGAGGTGCAGCCAGGCTCCACGCCTTCTGGTCACACAGCTGAATTGCCTTCACCTGTGCTCCCAGGGTTGGCCCAGTCCTTGCCTCAGGTGATCAATCAGTGGTTCAGGCTGTGACTCAGCAGTTCCCATATACTGCTGCTCCATAAGTTATACATTTAAAGGTAGTCCCTTTCTGCCGCTTTGAGTCTCAAAAAAATAATAAAGACACATCAGAGATGCAGAATGGGATTACACAATCACTTCATAGAATCATAGAATGGCTTCAGTTGGAAGGGACCTCAATGGCCATCAAGCTCCAGGCTGCCAACCTCCATATCTAATACTAGACTCCAATACTTCAACTCCAATGTAACTCTCTGTTGTCACTGCCATAAAAATACCAACAACCAGTCCTGCCCCTGTAACACCCAGCCACTGATCCTTCCCATCTCTGGCATACAACCGACCATATCCTACTGCTCATGCAGCAATACAGCGAGTGAGACCAGGATACTCAAGAGTGACCGTATTCGGTCAGCTTAGGGTGAAGCCAGCTTTCTTAATAGAAGCTGGGTATGGTGCCATGTGTTAGATTTGCAATGATAAAAGCGTTGGTAAGTGTTGATGATAAAGTAGCTTTTGCTGAGCAATGTTTGCAGTGTATCAAAGCCTTTTCAGCTTCTCATTTTACCCTGCCAGCAAGGAGGCTGGGGTGCACAAGGAGTTGGGAGAGGACAGCTGACCCCAACTGACCAAAGGGTATCCCAGCTCATAGCATATGACTCAGCAAAAAAAGTTGAAAGACAGGAAGAGGAAGTGGGTCTAAGCAGCCAACAGCGTGATGAAAACCTGCTTTCTTGGAAATGGCTAATAATCTGCCTGCTGATTGGAAGCAGTGAGTGAATCTCCTTATTTTGCTTTGCTTGCACATACAGTTTGCCTCAGTTTTCTTAACTTTAACTCCCCAGTTTGTCCTCACTTTTGCCCTTCCAATTCTGTCTGTTGAGAACGAGTGCCAGAGGCACCTGAGAGGGTCAGCTTATTATGGCAGCCCAATATTGCATTCTACTCAGAACAGCCTGAGCCATACAGGATTTTCCTAGATAACGCTATCACAGCTCACATCACCCACAAATACAAGACAGCGGGTTGAATTATATTTTTAACATAAGAGAACATATAGAAAAAATGTTAAAGTGCAATTAATTGGATTTGAATTTGTACACACATTCTATTAGTCTCATGGAATCCCTTTTGAAACATGAATTGCATGAGAGGGAAAAAAAGATGGTAGATCAAGGCTTGAGAGATAGATAATGATTTGCTCAGGGTCAAGTCTGAGAATAAGTCAGCACAGAGAGCGCGGGCTGGCAACAGGAGACCACCACTTAAAAGAAACATCCTGATTATTAGCATAAGATTTGTCTTCATGCAAACTAGCAAAGAAAAAGAAAGAAATATTATAGACATTGGGTATCTGTGGTAAGGGAAAGAACAGCAAGACACCAGGCACTGCATTTGTGCTCAAACAACAAGCAACCCCACATATTCCATCCTCTGCGTTTGTCTCTAAAAATAAAAGCGAAACACTTTAAGACCCTTCTCTTGTAACAGATGTTCAAAAATGCCACACAAAAACATGTTGGTAACCAAAGAATTAATGTAGACCCAACCTTTACTCCTAGAAATTAACAATACATATCACCAAATCACTTTGTAAAACTTAATAAAAACCAAAGCACTTAAATCCACGAATCACAAACCGCTGGCTGCAACCCACCCACCTCCTGCAGTGATTCATGACAAAAAGCATCAATGCAATACAACTGCCAGCAACAGATGCTCCCAATAAGCACCATTAGCTCTGAGATAAGTTTCCCTTAAGCCCTTTTGCCCAATGACACTTCCTGCACCCAACCATCGGTGTTTGCAGGCAGCTCATCGCCACACTTCCAGCAAATCAACTTCTGTTGACTGCAGTCTCCACCTAGTTTTACCTACTGCTGATATTCATTGGCGTGGTGAACTTACTCGGGGTCATGAGATGGGCCTCTCACGTCCACGATGACGTACTCGAGCTTGCAATTTTTCCTCTGGCAGTAGCTGTTGAGGTTGCTCATATACTCTCGGTCCATCTCGACGCAATATCTGAGTACCAAAAGATTCTGTAGAGAAATATTCAGGGCTGTGCCTGAGCTTCACGCAGTGCAACAGAGACAGCCCGCGTTCTGCCAGAGTGCTGCTGTGGCAGGGGACAAAACGGTGCCAGGGGGAGAACGGTCACAGAGAAGTAATTCCGATTTCTCACTCAAGTCGCTGGTTTGCAACTTACTGAGATTATAGATTCAGAGAGCAGAACGGCGGGTTTAGTGATGAAGGATGATTTCTCAGCAGATTCCCGGAAAAGAAGAGGTCGAATCGCTCAGTGGATGCTGAGAGAAATTAGCAACGTTTCTCCGTGAAGAATTAAAACTGCTTCCTTCAGAGCAGAACCGAGGCGCGGCAGCCCGCACCCTCAGGCTACGAGGCTGTCAGACTCCGTGACGCGCACTACGGAAACAGGAAGAGAAAAACAAACGCTTATAGGGAAAAAAAAAAAAAAGCAGATAAATCAGTGACGGTTACTTTGTAACGGGAACTCCGGCTGTGCCCCGACCAGCCCCGCTCCCCACGGCCGCCCGGCTCCCTCCGCCCGCCGTTACCTCCGCTTTCTCCGCCGCCGCGCCGCCCGCACCGCCGCGAGGAGCCGCGAAGCGCTATGCTGACGCAGCCCCGTCCCCGTTTCCCACAGTAGAGCGGCGCCGGCACGAAACGAAAGCGAAAGGCGGACGGGGAGCGCGGCTGGGCGGCTGCGCCTCACTCACTGCGCCCTGCCGCGGCGGGCCGCTGCCTGCCTGCCTGCCTGCCTGCCGCGCTGCGGCTCGGCGAGCGCTCCGGCTTACACCTCGGGCACGGACAGCGCGGCTCGGGGTCGGCGCACGGAACCCTACGGCCGCCTTCGCTCAGAGAGCGGAAGACCCCTTTGACAGCCATTCCTGACCCGAGTTACGTTACTCAAGTTTATTTACTAGCAGTAAAATAAAGGCGTGAGAGGGCCCGCCTACGGGACTCCCTTCCCCCCGCGGCCCCGCCCAGCGCCGGGGCGGGCGCAGGGTTCGGTGGCTTCCGCCGCTCCGTGCCACGCACGGCTTTGCGCGCTGCGGCGGCGGGCGGAGCGCTCCCGGCTGCGGCGCTCGGGCGCGGGGCGGAGAGGCGTCGCCATGGGGGTGCACGGCGTCAAGGCGATCTTCTTCGACCTGGACAACACGCTGGTGGACACGGCGGCGGCCGGGCGCCGCGCCATCGAGGAGGTACGCGGGGGCGGCCGCGAGCGGACGGGGCGGGGCGGGGCGGCGGTGTCCGGACGGGCTGTGCTCTGTGTGTTGCAGGTGGTGAAAGCCCTCCGTTCCAAGCACCACTGCGGGGAGGGAGACGCCCGCGGGATCTGCGACAAGGTGCAGGCGAAGCTCCTCAAGGAGTGCCACGACCCCGCCAAGACGTGCATCACTGAGCTGCGGATCTCGCACTGGGAGGAGGCGATCCAGGAGACCATCGGCGGCGAGGCCAACCGCAGCCTGGCGGCGGAGTGCTACTTCTTGTGGAAGGCCACCCGGCTGCGGCACCTGACGCTGGCCGAGGACACGCGGGGCATGCTGACCGAGCTGCGCAAGGCCGTCCGCCTGCTGCTCCTCACCAACGGCGACCGGCAGACGCAGCGCGAGAAGATCGAGGCGTGCGCCTGCCAGCCCTACTTCGACGCCATCGTGGTGGGAGGCGAGCAGAAGGAGGAGAAGCCCGCGCCGTCCATCTTTCACTACTGCTGCGACCTCCTGGGCGTGCAGCCGGCGGAGTGCGTCATGGTGGGGGACTCTCTCGACACAGACATCCAGGGAGGGCTGAACGCCGGCCTGAGAGCGACCGTCTGGTTAAACAAGTCGATGGCGGCCCCGGCCGATGCCTCGCCGGTGCCTCATTACGTCATTTCGTCCGTTCTCGATCTGCCGGCGGTGCTGCAGAAGATAGAGCACAAGGTGAACGCGAAGTTAGGGACTGACCGTGCGGCGGGCGGGACCGAGGCACGCTGAGGGCTGCGGCGCGGCAGGGAGCTGTTGGCGGTGCTCCCGATAACAATCTGACCCCAGGGTTTTCAACTCGTGTACGTGATGTTTTCCTTAATCAGCAGGTGGGCAAGGAAGAGCAAGGTTGGCAGTGGAACCGGGGTAAAAACAGAGTATTGGATTCATACAAAAGATGCAAGTGCGGTTAGCTTAAAATAACTGCCTGTATCCGGAAATTACTTTGGCAGACTGGCTAAAATGTGTTTGTCTCTGATGGGAGTCCCTTGTTTTAAGCTGCAAAAGAAAATTGGAATGTTTTGATCATTCAGTGGCGGCTGTTTGCTTTGCTGACCCGTAAATTCAGCAGAAGCTTCAGTTCAAACCTTGCCTGCAGCACATAAAACACACAAAGGTGAGAAGGTGTTGTGCAATTTGCAGACCTTCACGGTCCATCTGCAGCTCATCTCAGAAACTGAAGTGAATTTTGCTATTCCGGAGATCGGAATTTATTGATAGAACTTATTGTGTAGTAAACCGCTAGGAAGTGATTTTCTCTGATCCCTTTTCAAGTTGTAGCATTTTTTTCAGTCTTTGCAGTGACTTTTATGGAATCCGTACCTGTTGCCAAAAGTGCTTCAATGTACATACAGATTTGCATTTGTACAGGGGACCATTAATCAGAGGAACTCAATGAATAAGTTTTTACTTCATATCATCTTGGTGCTGCAAATAAGCAGTGTGCTTGTAAATCATATGATGATTTTTGTTGGAACATAATTGATATAACAGGGGTATTTTCAGTGATCATCTTACTATACTGTAACTTCTTTGGCAGCTCATATTATTGTTCTGTCTGATTTTATTAGGGAATTTTGATCAGACTCATTGGAGAAACTGTTTTTGGTCTTGCTCAGGTATATGACCACTCAGATTCAGCTGCAGGTTCAGTGCTTTTTTTTTTTTTTACTGTTTGAAATAGCACTGCTATACAATCCCTCCTTACTCCCATTTCCACTTGTATCTCATGTGATTTACTCTGGAGAAGGTGTTAGTTGTTTGTAAATGGCTTTCATAACACTTTTCCATGAAAGTGGAAAAACTTGGAAAATGGTGTCATATGTAACTATAGTGCTGTGTACAATTTCTTAATGCATATGTGCTTTTGGTGGAATACTTGAAACTGGATGTTACAGAGATGACCCTCTGAAACACAAAGATTTCTCTTTCCCAGATTATTATCTTAATAATTTAAATTTGCTGTACTTCATATACTTAATACAAAAGAAATAAGAATTTTGGGTGAATGTATGTAAGAAATGTACAGAAGAAATGCACCTCTTTATATGAATTTAAATTAATACAACTAAGGAAGTTTCACAGTGTCATGGATTCTGTTTAGAGGAGGGTGTTAATCTGCATTAAATTACTTGGCAATGAGTATAATTTCCATGAAACTAAGTTTCTCCAGCATTGAAATAGATTGACATGTTAATTCAAGCTTGAATCTCTTTCACCAAATTAATTCTTAAAAATGGTAGAACTATCCACATTCTTAATGTCATCTAGCCAAGACCTTTGAGATGCTAGGATGACTGAGTACAGAGGCAGGCTCTGCTTGTACCTATGAGGAAACAGGCTTAAGCCACAAGCAAATTGCCATGTGTAATATGAGCCAGTGGGAGTGACTGGACATGCCTTTGTTACTGCAGTAAGAAGCCTAAGTTAAGATTTTATTTTCTCTTTGAGAGAGTATGAAAACAGTCACTGTTGTATGGCTTACAAGCAAAACATTGCTAATGACATTCCTTATAATAAGAGACTGAGAGAAAAATAGTGAAGGTCATTGAGCCCACCAGGAATATTATTTAACAGTAGAAATGTATCCAAAAGGTTAGATGGATCCCCAGAAAGATAACTTAGTTGAAGTAATCTGTTTTAACCATACTGAAGGAAAACAGCTTTGTTTACAACAGTATCCCAGAGTAGAAGCAGTTTAACTGCACTGCTTGCACGTCATCAGGCTGACAGAACTTGTGTCAGAATGAGGTTTCTGACCCAGCTGTGATGTAAAATAATAAATAGTAGTAATCCACAGTTCTGTCTGTGGGCTTGAAGGGTATTTATTTACCAGATTACCATTTTTAATGTAAGTTGAGGCTTGTATTCTCTTGCCGTTGCATCATTCTGAAATACGATGCTGAGCCTGCTTGTTGTTTAAAAGGTCTCTTGTTTTATAAGAGTCTGATCTTTGTTTTGCACTTGGTTTTAGCCAGTTATTTTGTTATATTTATCATCTATGAAAAAAAATGCTGTAACTGAACACTCAGGGGATAGTGTGGTCTGTAGAGGTCACACAGAAATATACTTTTCCATTGTGAGTACTGTACCAGGCTGGATGTGACTACCAGCTTCCAGTTAGGGCAATGCTATTATGATGCTGCTATAAAACAAGAAGAAAAGAGACAAGATTTTTCCATCTGGCATCTTATTAGAAGCAGTTACCCAAAAAACTGGATTAGGTATCTGGAATATCTAAATACTCAGGATGGTTTTCCTTGATGGAGCTGTTACAGAAAACCAAGTGAAAAATAGTTCTATTAATGAAAATGGAAAAACAGATGTAGTGGTGGAATCATTTTCAAATCAAAAGTGAAAATATATGAATAAAATTGTCAGTATTCAGTTCCAGTTAAGTTCTGGCTTTGCTTAGTGACATGCTCTATTAGGTAAGTTGTCTAGTTTAAATTATACTACAAAAACACACTAAATAAAAAAGAAAAAGAAATTATAATTTATTTTTAATCACATTTTCTCAGATAAATATCTCCTGAGATTAATCTTCAGTAACGTTGACTTTAGAGTAAATGAACTGTAACAACACTATAATGCCAACTGTATTTAAGACAATCCATGTACTAGTCTAATAAAAGTATTTTGTTTATAAAACCTTGTTTCTCACTGTCTTACCATCACTGTTCTTTTAATAGCATAGAATTGGCTTCAAAATCTGTGACCCTGATATTTAGATATGTTGAATACGTGTAGTTCTCATAATTTCAAAGGCTGAAGCAATAGTTCTGTATTTTTAAAACTTCTTGGCCTGACTGCGTAGACCACAATGAATTCCTAACAGTGGTTAGCAATTGCCAAGAAAGAATCATAGAATCACTAAGGTTGGAAAAGACCCACAGGATCATCCAGTCCAACCATTCACCCATCACCAATGGTTCTCGCTAAGCCACGTCACTCAACACAACATCCAATAGAATTATAGAAAAGCATTTGGCTCTACCAGGTGTACAAAGTACCACAGGACCTGCACATCATTGCCTCTCCATTCTCGTTCAGGGGGGCTTTGTATGTGTAAGCTGTTAAGGTGCATAGTAACAGCATCAGAAATGGGGATTCTTTTTTACGTGCTTGAAAAACTTCAGCACAAAATTAAGAGTTCAAAGTGACTCAAATTTAATCTCCTTTTATGACAAGATTACCCACCTTGTTTACCAAGGTATAACCTCTTCGGATTTCAGGAAAGTTTTTGCAACTATTTCCCACAAGCCTGATGGCAGCTGCAGCTCCTCACAGGGAGCGGAGGGGCAGCACTGAGCTCTACTCTCTGCGGCAGTAGCAGGGCCCGACAGAGCAGCATGGAGCTGTGTCAGGGCAGGGGCAGCTGGGGACAGGTTTTGCACCATGGGGTGGTCGGCACTGGATTGGGTTTCCCAAGGCAGTGGTCACGGCCCGAGCTACTGGAGTTGTAGGAATGTTTGGACAATGCTCTCAGACATAGAGCTTGGATTTTGGATAGTGCTGTCTGGAGCCAAGTGGTGGACTGTAATCTCTGCAGGTCTCTTCATATTCAGGATATTCTATGACTTCCTGAAATAAAGACAATGGATAGCTTCCTGTGCATCAGACACCCTGAACCTGTTCCATTTGTCTTTTCCTGTGAAGCTCTTGTTATGTGGAAATGCCGATAACATGGTTTTGAACTAGACAAGTAGTTTGATCTGTCATAGAAATTTCTCTTATTAGAAAATGAATAAAGATACTATATGCTTAAGATTGATTTTTTTCTTTTTTAATTAATGCATTTTATGAATTGTTTTCCATGTTTTATTTTCTCCCAGTTTCATTCTTCCCCTGTCCATTGATAGAGTACCTTACTCATCAGAAGAGTATCAGTGGTAGACAAGACAGACCTTGGAAGCACTGTAGCTGCTTTAAAACAACTAACACTAGAAATCTAAGAAAGAAAATCTATTATCCGAGCAGAATAAATATTGACAGATTCCCCAGGAGTTATAACATGAGTTTGGATAACCAAACTGTAGGACCCTAAATATACCATGCTTCCTCTGCTACCAGATAATGTCTTAAGATTTACACGCATTCTTGTGTTCTATATTCTGCATTAAAAAAAGTGATTTATGGCATGGTTTCCTATCACCCAGTATAAATACAATATGGGATTACCATCAGGACCTCTTCTAGTCAGTTCAGATGGGGACTTCAGGAGCACAGGTCAGCTGATTTACATAGAACAGCTACTCTGATTACTTATATCCTCCAAATATCTTACTTTTCTCCATAGATTACTATTATGTCTGGATGATGGAGTCAAATAGACTTATTAAATGTAACTGTATGAATATGAAATTTTGATTAAAGTCAGAGCTGAAATGGAATAACTGTCTTCAAAAGTGACCATCTCAGTATCATGCACGTATTCAAAGCCCATTGAGTCTCATGTAGTTCTGCAGTTGCAAAGAGATTGTTCTGGGCAGCAGTATGTGTGGCAATATACCATTCTCCCATATCTTCAGAATTTGCCAGATACAGAACAGCCATCATCACTTTAACTGCTTCTTATCAAAGCTATTTAAACACAATCTGTCCCTAGTCCTACACGACTACTCATGCAGGTAAAGCCAGGGTTGAGGGTGAGGTTGGCAGAGGGCAAAGTACCAAAGGCTGATTTTGATGAGTTGTCAGGGCATGGTAGTAAAGTGCTTAACTGTATATGCAGTGGATGGGTGAACAAGATCAGTCTTCTTTTGAAAAGTAAGACTAAAGGTGAGAAGGGAGGAGTGCAGCTGTTGTTCCCAGTATATTCAATTCATTTGTAAAACAGCTGAGAAGGCCTGTCCATAAGTTGTGCCAGAAGTCAGGGAAAAAAAAAAACATTTCTAACCTGGGTACAAATGCAATTAGATTCATAAATTGCTGACATTTTATCTTTACTCTTCAATAGCACCTAGATTTCAATGCAGCTGGATCTAGCACATCATAAAACTGCAAACATACCATAACTAATACTCCTTACCTCAAAGGAGTTTGTGATGTATGCTATAGACTACCATAATTGTAGATCCACAGGTACTGAGTGTACTCTTAATTCTTATAGCGATCAATAAAAATAAATACAAGTCCTTCAGTTTTGTTTTAAACCTCACAGTGTATGGGCACCAGTCCCTCCTCCCATGGCTGTGTGCGTGTGTGAAGTCAGCACATTTTGTATCTATTTGCCCTCTAGCTAACTATCCAATTCTGGTTGTTCTCAGCAATACAATACAGGACAGAACCAAGTAATGCTGGCTGCTCACATACGTAGTGATCTCTTTTTTTAGCCTGGCCCTAAATTGGGAGTATTTTTGCTTCTAAGCTATCTTAAAGACTCTTTAAACAAAAGTCTGTACTAATAAAACTCATCACCTGGGAATCATACAAACACAAATAGAAATGCAATGCATCTCTAATGTATGTAGTGTATACTGTTCTTTTGTGCACAGCTTTTACTTTTCTATCAGCCTTGCAGTGGGATTGTCTCCATTATAACTCACTTTCTAGATCATGCTGTGCACATACAGGAGGTGTAACAATGCAGAGATTATGTCAGCTGTGTCTAAAGCAAAAACTGCAACTTTGCACCTATGTTGCAAGGGACCTAAACACAGAGAATCACATCGCCTGCTCCATATAGCATATAAAAAACAGATAGCTTTTTATTCTATCTGATAAAAAACAGTTGTGTGAGAGCTTTCTGCTGAGCAGTCCTCAAACACCAGAAAAAAGTGCATTTTAAAAAATGTTAAGTGAAATTATAGTGCTAAACATGGAGAGTTAATCTTTTAGAAATGCAAGCCACATTTCTCAAGTCAACTCCTAACGAAAGGCTGGATTATAACTTTGCATTTATCATATATTAATATTGTCATTCGCATCCACAGAGCTCCCTGAATTCAAGTAAAGTTTGTGCACAACTCTTTAAGGTCATATACAAGTGACTTTTACCTCCCACTTCTCCCTTTGCAATTTGATCCCATTCATCAATTTGTTAAGTTGTATTTCCTTCTCTTCCCGAATCACAGCAGTATCAAGTATTTGGAACAAAGTTTGCAGAGAACTTCAATAATAAATAGCTGAGGAGAGAGCCAGCTGTTGTACCAAGTTCAGGGGAGTACATATGTTTCTTACTGGCTTCTTGGCAGCTGTGTGCAGCAAGCATGTTTGGGATGTGTTGGTTTAAATAACCTTCCCTCCAGTGAAACTTCTATTCATATCAAACAAACTAAGCAAATTTGTCAGTTTGTTAAAAGAAAGCATAGAAGACACGCTTAAAGCAAAACAAGATTTTCTGTTAGTCAGCTACAGATATCAAAGTTTGTAATGCAAGTTTAAAATCCCAAATTTGAGTTGCTTGCCTCAAAGTTTCTTCAACACTGATTTGGAATAGCTGACTAAAGAACTGAATGTTGTATGGAAAGCAAAAATACTGACAATCATTTCCCTGTGTCTGTTCATTCAGGTTATCACTGGCTCAAAGCATTGGGATTTTCTACTGTAACTGTATTCAAGAGCAGCTTTATCACACTTAGAAAATCTAATTTCTTTATATTTTGGAAATAAGATATTATTAGGCAATGTGGAAGGAGCTGTGCATGTAGTTTAAACTACATTTGAATACACGTTTTATTTAATGCACTTAATGCATTTATTTATATTCTCTTGTATTCAATTTTTCAGTATATTCCAGGAGTAAACATTCCCAGTATTGTTTATTTTGCTACACCAGCTGTATTGCAAAAATACAATAAGAGGCTCAAGGTGTAGTGGTGTATGTGAATATTTATGACTGCAGTCACTTAAGAAGTACACTTCAGGTGAAGGACTTAGGGAACAACTTTACACTTCTCAATGACTCTAGAAAGTCACCTGGTATAGTTATGGTTGAGTTACCCCAAATGCTCGATAACCTTACCAGAGATAAAGATGAAAAAACATTCAATTTATTCTACTTTCCTTGGCTAAACCCAGCTGTAGAGATTAGACAGATCAGTGCAGTGGGAAAGGCATTACAACAAAGATATGATGGCAGAAGGACCAGCATAGTAGGAAGGTGCTATAAGGGAAGAAAATTGCTCACCCATATCAGAAGATTCTAGGTTCACAGGGGAAAGTTTCACCAAGGAAGGACCTCCAGAATGAGATCCTTCCCTAGTGGTAGTCACCCCTTAAATGAGGTCTAGGAGAGGTGCAGCCAGGCTCCACCCCTTCTGGTCACACAGCTGAATTGCCTTCACCTGTGTTCCCAGGGCTGACCAGGTCCTTTCTCCAGGTGCTCAATCAGTGGTTCAGGCCATGGCTCAACAGTTCCCTTATGCCACCCTAGCAATTTTTCATGTACTTATGCTGTTACTGTGTGTCCTCAACAGCATAACATACAGGCATGTATAGGAAGACCATTTTCCCCTGATAGTGACCAGTATAAAAGAAATGTCTAACTGGTTGCAAAATCATTACTAATAAAAATGTATCAACTCTATAAATATATGCTTTGTTGCTTCTTTTGCTATGCAAGTGCTAAGAATCTCACTAAAGTTTTCTATTCTTTCAATGAATTACATCATCATGTATCCTCAAAGTTACTGTGCCATTTTCATCCGAGGAGCAGTAGGTCAGGTCTGCCTATTTGAGGTTGTCAGTCTCAA